ACATTCATCATGATCACTGACACGTGGCTGTCGGATTACGCGTGCTCAACGCTCTTTTCCTTGGTTGGGTAAATGCTTTTTAGGAAAGACAGGCAATACCTCCGTCTTTGCTGTTGCCTTGTATATGTTAAATCTCCTCTACAAGCTACTGTATTAAACAGCCCTATTTTAGATAATATGCAGGAATCGATTTGGTTAAGCGTCGCATGTCACTCGCAAACCGTGATTACTGGTTGTTTTTGCCGCCTCCCTTCAAAATCCTATGACTTTCCTTCTATATCTGACGCGTTCCACTACCTGGATGACCTTGCACCAGAGCCCAAACTTGTAGAATGTGATTTCAACGCACCTAGTTTAACTTGGCCCTCCTCAAAAGCACCAAACAACCTTACTCCTTTCCTATCTAGCATTGCGTCTGGTGGCTGGACACAGCGCGTGAAATCCCCCACAATGGCAAACCACGCTCTGGACTTAGTTTTCACAAAAAACCTAATAGTATCCCATACATCTATCCTGCACCACTTCCCATGTAGTGACCAGAGAATGGTGAAATTTATCTTTTCACTTCAGCCGTCCAGTAGCTCTGCTCCTCCAGCCAAGGCTCCTCTTCTTATTACCGATTGGTCTTCTCTAACCAGTTTGATTCGCTCCAAGGATTGAATTGGTTTTTCTCTCTCCTCTAACCCACAAGCTGCAGCGGATATACTTTAACAGAACCTTTCTTATTTCCTCCCCTCGCTAACCCTGGGTATCTTACCTACTCATCGTCCCCACACCCACTTCGATAGATTATGCAAAACATTTAATAAAATAACTAGGCTATACCCATGACTTTTCTCTCCTCATGCAGCTGCATTCAATCGCACAGACGATCCAACATAAAACTAATAATTTGCACAGAAACCGAGAACTCAAAGCTTTATCACATCCTAACCCAGTTTGGAAAATCTCCAAACTGAGTAGAGCGAGAAACAAAACCAATATTCACTCTATTTCTCACCTCAACCTTCCTGGTAACGTTGCCGTCACCTCCTCACAGGAAACCTGTGAAGCCCTAAACTCCGTATTCACCTCCCCCTCCACCAGGGACTCTATTTCTACCCCTACCAACTTGTCTATGTCCATAAACAATTATTTTAATGTCATCTGCTTTACAGCCGGTGACATTGCCAGTCTTCTTACTTCAACCAAGCCCGCCTCTCACCCTGGACCAGATGGACTACCCCCCAATGCCATATGCCTTGGAGGACCTGACATACCCGTCATCTTGTTAAAACTATTTTCCCTCCCTTTGATCGGTGGCATTGTACCACTTCATTGAAAACAATCTACCATAATTCCACTTCACAAATCGGGTCCCACCCATGATCCATCCAACTACCGCTCAAGAAACCATCTTCTTACTCTTTCCAGAAAAATGGAAAAAAATTGTTAAAAGACTACTTTCTGACTACTTGCTTAATGAGAACATACTTAGCAAGAGCCAACACGGCTTTCTTACATTTCTCTCTTGCCAAACGTGCCAATTGGACTTTTGAAACCTTCTTACTAAATCAGTGGATCCTAATAAAGCTTATATAGTCCTATGCCTGGATATGACCAAAGCTTTTGACAGAGTTTCTCACCCACGGCTTATTACCAAAGGCCACATTTATGGGATAGGTAACCCACTCCTTTCTCCTTACCTTTCAGACCGCTCTCAGGTGGTTTTGATAGAGAATGCTTCTTCCAAGCCACAACCTGTTACCAGTGGTGTGATCCAAGATAGGGTACTAGTCCCCTTATTGTTTCTTATGTATATTAAAGAAATTTCAAAATCTATTCATCACGGAACATCCTTTTCGCCGATGACATTAAAGTGGTTTACTCTTTCTCACAAAATAAGCTAATAAACGTCCTAGACGGCATTCCGTCAAACCTTCTTGCTCTTGATCGTTGGTGTTCTTTGTGGTCGATGACTTTCTCGGTTAACAAAAGTAGCATATTGCCTTTTCGATGTCAAGTACCTCCGGGTTCTTTGACCATGAACGGTATTCCTATTGTTCATTCCACATCCGTTCGTGACCTCGGACTCAGCTACTCTTCTTCTTTTAACTTATCGCGAGCATGGTGCTTCGCAAGTAACCAAGGCCAGACGCCCAGTAAACCTTTTCTTTGGGACTTTCAGCCTCCGTGATAGCATAATCACTTTGTATAAATCCCACACTAGGCCTTTGTTAGAGTTTTCGTCAATGGCGCATTCCAGCATGAGAAAGCTTGATAGAGTGGCAATAGAGAACGTCCAGTGAAGATTTACTAAACAAATTCTTGGCTGGACCTCAAATTTAAACTACATAGAGCGATGTCTCCTACTAAAACTTGACCCCTTATGGTTACGCCGTACAAAGCTTAACCTTACCCTTCTGCACGGAATCCAGTATCAGTGGGCCCATTCGGTAGATGTAATCCGATTTGAGGTTGATTCATTCTACCCCATTCGTAATCACGTAAACGTCCTCCCCCTATCTAATGATAGAACAAACACCAGACGGAAAGATTTCCTAAATTGAAATTCACGCCTATGGAATAAACTTCCGGTCAAAATAAGGCAAATAACGTCCACCTCAACGTTAAGTAATCATATCCGTCGATTCGTCACACCATCTTATATGGCCCGACTGCACAATCACCACGAGGAATCATTAGCTTTAGAGAACGGGATAGACTACTAAATGCCGGGGAAAGATAGCAGTTTAGAAAATATTCTATAACGCACAAAAAAAGTGTTGTCAATAATTGATCCTAAATTGATGCCTTGTTGACATAGGTTTTCATTTCACTCAAGAGACTCAACCGTGTGGAACATAATAACATGGTAGAAGTGTTAAATTTCCAAACACAAATACAATCAACACACTGATTCATCTCAGTGGTACATGCTGACCAGGCAGCAGTGGTCATATTTCAACCTATTTCTAACCAGTACACTGGTCGAGCTTCAACGCTTGATAAGTGGAAGAAAACGTGTCAGTAGAAAACGACAGCAGAACTTGCCACCTATGTAACGACGAAAACACGATTGTCCTGGTCCGAGCGAAACGAAATAGACCTCGTCGGTATGCATTCAATCAAACGATCCTTCGCTCGTTCTGGATGGCGATAACCAAATCTCAGAGCAACGCGTAGCCCAAACTATCGAGAACCAAGTCGATCCAAACATAATCTACGCTACTATTTTTGCACTAATCACAAATACATAAGGCACTCATACCTCTGATAGTGAGCCTGATTCACTATCCAGCCAAAATGCTACAAATATTCACAGAAAATATCTGCAGTAATAAAAAGTAAACAAGAAAATGAGTGATTTGAATTACCTGTCAGATAATTCTGGACCAATAAGAAAATTCCACACGCTTCAACAGATCAAGAAAAATAATCTTGAACGTTACAGCTGTAGTGACTGCGTTTTGTTNCGTTGACGCACGTTAGACCCACACACGTCCACCTTGGTCGTTCAACGCACTGTGCGACGCCACTGTGTTTCACATTCAAATGCAGTGCCTTTTGTCCAGGTCGCATAGTCTGCCTTCTGTTTTGCATTCGTTGGCCGTTGAGATCACTCTGTCGTATTAGTTTAACGTTGCGACTCGTGGNTTAACTAACCAGGGCCACGCGTGGACGGAGCCAGTGCACCTTATAAGTTGGTGAGCCCGAAGTTTCCGTAAGTTTAAGGATCACTGGTGAGTCCATCTCTGCAACGACAAGTTCCTCTTTTATTATTATTGTTTTTTGTGCCTGATAGTAAACCTGTTTATTTGTTTCTTCCCACATTTTGCTCATATATTACGACATCTTCGCCTATATATTTTTTTGTTTTCAACATTATGAGTTCCGATAGTATATTCAACCCAGCTTCAATCCCCGAGCATGAGTCCATCGTACCCGGCGTGGTTACTCGCCTCCCAGATTTTTGCGCCGCCAGCCCCCTTTTCTGTTTCCGGCTTCTCGAGGTAGAATTCGAGAATGCTGGCATTACTGCCGATCGTCACAAGACCAAATGGACAATCAGTAAGCTGCCCCAAGATGTAGCCTGGCAACTACAGGATGTCATTATGGCCCACCCCAAGTACTCCGTCCTCAAAGACGCCGTGATTAAACGGACCTCTCCGTCCGACGTTGAGCGAGTGCGGCGTCTTTTTAAATATCTGTCACTGGGGGACCGCACCCCATCTGCCCTGCTGCAAGAGATGCAACAAATACTAGGTCTATCCGTCATCAGCGAGGAAATTCTGAGGGAGATCTGGATGCAGCGACTCCCGACGGACGTGCAAGCAATTGTTGCGTCCGCCCGTAAGTCCCCTCTTACGGTTGCGGCATCCATTGCCGATGAGATGATGATCCGCCTTCGGCCCCAGGTGTCCGTAGTAGCCCGTCCCCCAATTTCCACTGATATCACTACCTTAGGCGATATTTCCCGTGTGATCCCTTGTTCTTAATTGGAGAACAAAATGGACAAAGTCCTAGACATGATGTGCCGAGTCCTCGACCGTCTGTC